CTTACTCAGAGTTTCTGTGTGACTTCTCAGACTTTTCATCTGATTTAGTGCTCAGCTCAGATACAATAATCAATGTGGGTGATTTTAACATCTTCTTCTAACATATAGTATAGAAACTGAACATTTAGTGGTGTTTCCTGAAAACCCTCTCTTGTCTGAACATTTCCTGATAACACTGGTTTTTATATAACAGTTTATATAATAAAAACCTGCTACCACCGCCGAGTTGGCCCCGTGTGCCCACCAAGAGGCACCTGATAACAAGCTGCTGTGATTAGAAGCGAAGGCAGAAACTTGCACAGCAAATACGATCTGTGATGTTTTTGTTCCGTGTTGCATTAAATGTGCTGTCATAAATAACTGATGAGGACATGTTGGAATAGGTAGGGAGGAGTTGTCTTTCCTCTCCTCACAGGGAGATGTCCACTCCTGGAGATGTAAGATGAGCCAAGGGCTGGACTACGTCGCAAATAAGGGAGAAGCCAAGTCTAAACAGTGGCTACGCCTCAACTTTTTAACCAGTCATATTAGAATTCTGTTTGTGTGTCTCATAATAAAAGTGCTTGCTGCTTGTGTGCAGTGGCCTTTCTGTCTGGACAGAAGGAGGTCTGTGGCGCCTTGTAAAATTAACTTGAAACTTGTAATTAACTAATTACATTAACTAACTGTGTAATACATTTTGAAAACGTATACTTTGAGTTTATTTGTCTTTTCTCAAAAAGAAAAATAACCCAACAGTGTGTGTAATCTGCTCAGTGTAACCCGAAGATGTGTTCATACGTGAATCACTGAATTAAGAAGGACAAAGACCATAAAAAAGTTTTGCTTTTCTCCTGAACACAAAGGGTTAGAATTATCACTACTAATGACTTAGGTGCATTTTAAACTGAGCCAGACTATTTGTTATTCGCTGCTTCCAGGATTTATGTATGGCTAGGCCAACCTGATTCTGGCACTGAGGAACACCAGACAAGTCCAACGTGACAAAACTCTTCTCGAGTTCAACACATTTCATTCACCGAATGCTCGATGTCTAAAATGAAAATGAATAACAGGAGAAAAAGACACATTCACGAGTAGGTCAGAGTTTTTCAGATTTTCTGTGTTTTATTGAGGACTAGCTTGGTGCTGAAACCTCTCATATGTGACATGCTCAGTTGGCAGCGATGGTCTGGTCGATCCAGGCACGCAGCTTGGTGACACGGGCATAGACTGCAGGAGTGGAGGTAGAGCAAGTTGAGCTTCCCCAGGACACAATACCAACCAGAGTCCAGGCTCCAGATTTCTCACAGACCAGAGGACCACCAGAGTCACCCTGAAAAATAAGAATAAATAAGACATTATAAAAAGCTAAATGGTAAATGGACTGGTTTTCTACATTATCTGAGCACTCAAAGCACTTTAAACAACTTGCGTCATTTACCCATTCGGCCACGCCCTTTTGTCAATGCTCTTTTGATGCATCGGAGCGCAGCTTTGTATGTTGCCGAAGGATATTTGTCATGCAGACTTTAGCAACCAGGGCTCAAATCAGCAACCTTCTGATTAGTAGGTTTCCTGATCTAATGCCTGACCCACAGCCATCACATAAGAAGCTCAGGATCAGTGCTTCTGTAATTGATGGAGGTCCCGCTCACCATGCAGGAGGAGACTCCGGAGGCTCCAGCGCAGATCATCAGATCAGTGACTTGGCTGCCCCAGTAAGACTGGCAGTCAGTGTTGGTCAGCAGGGGCAGGGCAGCCTGCTGCAGACGGGGTGGTGTGTTGGCAGCTGCACCACACACACAAACACATCAGACATTAGAGACTTTTTTATCATGCTCTATCATTCCTCGTGTTTTAGCACAACTGTTAAAGCTCCACCTGGTGGTCTCATTACAGTCCAAACCCACGTATATGTCTATCTAATAATTGTTTAACCGATCAGTGTCTACGAGGACATAATAACAAAGAGTAACAGGTGGGTGAGCTCTTACCGTTGTAGCGGGTCAGACCCCAGCCAGTGGTCACACACTTCAAGCCTCCGGGGAAGTTGTCGGAAGTCTCGGCCACACAAACTGGGGAAACACGTGTGCCCAGTTGGGCAGGGGTGGCCAGCTTGATGAGTGTGATGTCGTTGTTGATGGTGTAACTGTTGTAGTTGGGGTGCCTGAACACCTGTTGGGAAGTGACATCGTTATGAGCGGCCAACAAACCCTGACATGTAGCTATGCGATGAAAGCTGATGCAGTGTTTCACCCACCTTGCCGGGAGCCAGGGTCTGGATGTTCTCGGCACTGGAGGAACGGTCGTGCTCTCCGAGGATCACACGGTCGGAGGTCCTGCACAGAAAAGAACAGAAGCATGTGGGCATTTCTGAGATCATCACATTACCTGAAAACTGTTTTTACTTAGTTTTATTCTACCCCAGATACACAGCAGTGCCCTCTCAACAAGGATTCTCCTCATCAAACATGACTCTTAATTGGAGTTTTCGGTCAAAACCAGCTTAAAGTTACCTGATGGTGCAGTGAGCAGCTGTCACCACCCAGTTCTCATTGATGAGAGAACCACCACAGAAATGGAAGCCGGTGTAGTCCTGTTACAGCAAAATGAACATCAACGGTTAGACATTTCCATCTGATTGTGTGGTGAGCTGTGACAGCGTCTTTGTTTCTTCATTTACCTGGAGGGACACCTGCCAGGGCCAGGAGTGAGGCACTGCCTCCTCACCGTTCACAATGCGGGCGTAACCGGTGATGACAGGACGGATGGCGGGAACTCCGCACCCTGGTGACATCAGAACATCAGGATTATGCCATTAATGAAAATAAAATTCATGTAACAGTCACATTGGCACTAACTGTAAAATTAAACAAATGTTTCACCCAATGAGCTGTAACATTAGAGAGTTTGTCTCACCGTAGGCGGTGCCAATGAAGGCGAGACAGGAGAGGATCCACAGGAAGGCCATGGCTAGATCATGTCAGGGCAACCTATTGAAGGAGCTTTTATACAACAGGGATATGGTGTGATTGGATGGAACCAGGGCGGTTATAGGCAACATCTTATCAGTGGACAGTGGGAGTTTTAGCAGGTGATGCTGACAAGCTGCAAAGTTTGATTTTCCAATGTGAGGGACTAAGACTTTTACATGTGAACCATCTTGAGGTCTTCTTGAATTCTTCTCTCAGCCTTCAGTGCTTCTCCAGCTTTTCGTGTTACCTCTTTCTGATGGTGCTGTCATTCAGTATTGCTTTGTCTGTCACTACGACTGTCTTCCTCTGCTTGTCCATCACTACTATGTCTTTTTTGTTAGCCATCACCTGTTTGTCTGCCTCTGTCTGGAAATCCCACAGGATCTTAGCTCGGTCATTCCCGACCACCCTAGTGGGTGTGTCCCATTTTGACCACTGGACTTTCATGCCATACTTGGCACACATGTTCCTGTATAATATGCCAGCCACTTGATTATGGCGTTCCATGTATGCCCTGCCTGCTAGCATCTTGCACCCCACTGTTACGTGCTGGGTGGTCTCAAGGGCATCCTTAAGGCCCTTCACATAGGAGTGGATGGAATGGAATGCTCTGCACTGACCACTAGTTGGAGCAAAGGACCCAAAATTTGTGTTGCACTGGCTGCTGCACTCTGCTTGCATGCCATGTTTTTTTGCAGCCACTCTACCAGATGAGCCTGCTCCTTGTCATTACAAAACATGCATCTCTCTGACTTTATATCCTCTATGACAGATCATGCCATGATTAGTGCCTCCATGCTGTGTAGAATTTCAGGATGTCAGCCACTTCCTTTATCTGCTGGTGCATCCTGTGCAGGGGCCTGTCCTTCTTTCTGGGGATGCTTCAGGTAGCCATAATGGGCGTCATAGATGCTCATGGAGTGCAGTCTGCTTCTTCAGCAAGTTGGCGTGCATCAGGCCTGGTGCTTTATACTGGAGACCCTTTCTTTGATGTCTGCCCCCGTGATGGTTGCTATGGTCTGCTCTTAGACCAGCCATTATGAGCATTGACTGGCCAAGAGGTTTTAGCTTGGCTTGCTGTATAGTTGGCTAACTTCCTTCCCTACTTTGATCTTCTCCTTCTGGTTGTCCGTAATGCAGCATTCACATCCCTCACATTGTTTTGGTAACCGACTACAGGTTTCAGTTTTCCAGCTTCGCCACAATCTGTTGGGTCAGCCGCTCTTGCTCAGTACTTGGTGCTCAGTCTTGGGTGGGGATGAAAGTATCTCCCCCCTGACCTACTAGTTGTTTTGCTGTCAGTCCGTAGCTCCTGTTTTTAGCTGTTTAACGTCTGTTGTTGCTTGATATTTACTTTTTCATGGGTTTAGTTGTTAAAGACAGTTACATCAAGCATTAGTCAGTGATTCCTGACAAATGTTAGTAAATGAGTAAAGGAAAATTTAAAAATAGTGTTAAAATAAAATAAAACTATTTAGAAAATCTAAATCCTCATATATATTTTTTGTTCCCACTCTTGATCTTCCTCCTCTTATTTTTGTGAAACTAATAAATTTTTTGATTTATTTTTAACTCAATTCCAAATGTTTGAAATCAATTATCAAAATGTAAAAAAATGAGGGCATAAACACAACCCATACATTAATAGCTAAATTATTAATATTCACAAGACTAACTGCTGCACTTTTTACTTCTATTGAATTTATTTGTGAAATTTGAAAGCAGAGCTGCATGTTTAATAAAACCGTTTTTTTAAATATATAATTCACTTAAATGTAACATGTAGATGATTGCTGTTATTATTTGTAAATGCATCTGTAAGAGCTCTCAGTTGATTGATTTATTGAACTTTAATTTTTTTTTTAAATTTGGGATTGAACTAATTCAAGTGTGTTGTGTTAACATTAAAAACAAACTGAAACAGTTACTTTAGTTTCACCGCACTTCTTTTGTATTTTTGTCCACTCTCATGTTGCCAGTTGGTTCCTGCTGTTATCTGGGTATTGACCTCCATTTTTCTGAAACAGGTGTGCATTTCCCAGCATTGAGTGTTTATCAGCAGCAAGTGGACTTAAACATTTTGTATGTGTTCTGACATCAACATTCTTATTATTCATTATTAGTATTTCTTAGTTAGTATTGTTAGCATCTGATCAGATGATGCAAAAAAAACAAAGCAAGAAACAAAAAAACAAGCAAATACACAAACATCTGCCCTAAGATGCACTAATGGGTTTTGAAGAGTTTGTGTAATCATTAACATGTTTAACCTATTTAAACAGCTCTGAGAACCTGGATAGTTTTATTGGCCTGAGTTAAAAATGAAATAAAAAGAAAAGAAAAGTCATGTTTATGTGACAAATGAAATGAATTCCAGCTCTGCAAGTTTTACGATGTCAATTGCTGTTTAGTTTTTACAATGAAAAATCGATGTGGAACACCTTTTAGCCTTTTCATGAGATGCCATTTTTTGTGTGTGTCTTGTGATGAGTATAAATAACTGAACTGGATAGATGTGAAGTGAATACTTCAGTTTGAAACATCCTTCAAAGTGAGTTTTTATCTGTTATTGAAATAAGTAAAACTGTTTGGAAAAGATGAATGTTGGTCCTTGTGTTTGTTTCCTGTCATCAAGAACAAACTGAACATCTAACTGGTAATCAGCAGAGGCGGATCCAGCACAGTCTATCACAGGGCTAACACAGACACACTCACATTCACAACAATGGGCAATTTGAATCACCAACTGACCTAACCCCGCTGTAGCAAACTGCAGCTTATTTTGGTTTGTTGTTTGTTTTTGAAATGAAAAAATATTGTCACATCTATTCTTTATAGCCCGTAGCACATTTAAACAACAGAAGCTCACCCACAGTCCTCTTTTACATTCCAGGTCTCTTAATAAACACAGAATCAATATATAAGCAAACTGTGTTGGTGTTCATTGGGCATAATAACCCCGAGTTCGCCTCCAAAGCATCTATCATATAAATGTTATGTAAAAAGCACCTATGTAGAAAAAAAGTGTTTGTATGAATGTGTGAATGACGCATGTTGCATAAAGTGCTTTGAGTGCTCAGAGTAGAAAAGTGCTGTATAAGAAACGCTCCAATATCATTTAAATACAGATTGTGGTTTTTAAATGTAATTTTTTTTATTTGGCCACTTACAGTGAGTCAGAGGCAACTTAAGCATATCTACATAATTACCGCAAGAAGACACAAAAGTGGTTGAGTAATTAAAAGTGATGAACTTGAGAATTACTGCTTTGGGAACCAAATGGTAGTGTGTCAAGGTTTCTCAGACCGGCAGCAGAAGCATGCTAGTATACTGTGTGACTCCTGTTCACAGCTCTGAGTGACTGCTACTGTTTCTGATGCAGTTTGGTTTTTGTTTTTTTGGGATGTTTTTTTATTGTTGTTGTTTTGAGGGGGTTTATTTGTTCCATTGTTTATTTTGTAACAAACCGGCACAGTGGACTCTAAACCAAATATTTAAAATGCGATCAAAGTCAGACTTTCAGCTTTAATTGTTTTACAAAAATTTACCATGAATGTTTTAAGAAACCAGCAAATAATCCCATTTTCAGAGGTATAGAATTAATGGAAAAACTGACTGACATTATGACTAAAGAAGCAGACAATATCTGAAGTGTTGAACTTGTCTTTTATAGCTTTTCACCATAATTTTAATGTAACCGTAAATATGAGATGTTAGTGCAAGAGAGGGAGGCCATCATTTTCCTGAAAATGGAAATGAAGCAATTTAAAAAGAGCAAGAACAAAATTTTAGAAGTGTCCAGATCTGGACAACAACACCAAAATACCTGAAAGACCTCAAAGACTAAAGAAGCCAACTGAAGTGCATGATGACAGAATTATTTCCATGTTTGAGGAAAAACAGCATCACATCTTTAAACCAAGTCGCTTGTCGTGGCAGGTGTAACACTGTCAACAACTACAATCAAAATACGCCTGTGTTAACAACATGGTGTGAACTACTGTTTACACGTTTCAGTTATTAAACACAAAACTGAAGACAGAGAGACTCACAAAAAAGCAGCAGCTGACGGGAAGAAGCGCAGCATCGGTGATGTCCGTGGGTTCTACGCTTCACTCATCACGAAGGATTTTTTTATTCAAGTATTAAAAACAGTTCTTATGAAATTACTATTATTATTGGTTTGTTCAGTTAATTGTGAGGCTATTAAACTGGGGAACTACGTCTATATCTATCCACTCTTTGGTTTACTTAGGCGAAAGTATAAAAGCTATGGCTCTGTTCAACAAATTATAGACTAACTGTATGTTTCCGGACAGTTTGAAGGGAGCCAAAGTTTATTAGAAATTAAATCAGGATTCTATTTTACTCTGGAGCTTAAATTTTATTTATACAGCGCCAAATCACAACAGCAGCCGTCTAAGGCGTTTTATATAGTCAGGTAGACCTTACAATGATACTTACAGAGAAAAACCCAACAATTATATGACCTTTGGCGACGGTGGGAAGGAAAAACTCCCTTTTAACAGGAAGAAACCTCCGGCAGATCCAGGCTCAGGGAGGGGCGCCATCTGCCGTGACTTACAACCCTCAGTAAGAAGTGGAAGCAGGACTGAGTATACTTGCGTCTCCTTTAGAGTACCTGGCCTTCTTGGTGCTTGGAAGGTGCCCATCCAGACTCCATTACGGACATCGGAGGAGCATGCTTGGGACAAGCATTGTCACGGCTGCCGAGGCGAGCCGTGTGGAGTTAGAAGAAGGACCCAAGATGCAGGCAGTGGATGAGATGTCGGTGAGTTTATTTACACAGTGGTAAGAAGGCAAAACAGGCAAGAGGGAAGACAAAACTAAAGACCTGAACTGGGAAAGCTAAATGACAAACCTGAGATGAAACAAAAAGGGATGAGAAGCAGAGAGACGAGCAGGACATAGAGTAACACAGACTGACGCAGAGTTACACAGACGAACCGGCAACAGGCAGGAGAACACACAGGGCTTAAATACACACACCAGTAATCAGGGGATGAGAGACAGGAGGGCAACACAGCTGGGAGGAATCTGAG